TTCCCCCTCCTGAAGTGGGAGGCTTTTTGCAAAATGCCTGATTTCCGGCATTTCCCTCTCCCCCTGCGCTTGGCTCGGCCCTTCCCCCGGGGCCGCCGGGCGAGGTTTTACAAGCCGCTTTGCAAAGCCTGACGGGGCTGTAAGTCGTTTCCGAGTCGTTTTGCAAAGCCCGGGATTGCCGCCTTAGTTTACACTCGCTTCGTGAAGCCTGCCGGTGCTGCATTAGTTTTTTTTGGACGATTTGCATTGTCCAGATCTGCTGAGGCTGCATCCTGTCCTTCTCCTGTTGCCGAGCTTGCTCAAGTGGTTTGGGCACATTTTATTTTTATATAAACACAGAGCCAGGTGTGACACAAGGATACTCCGAGAGGGGGCGAAGGGTGCTCCGCTGCCACATGGCATGATGTCCTCCCACATTCCCTGCATCCCGCCCACTCCTCACTGCTCCATTTTTTTGGACAATTTGCATTGTCCAAAGCCCGATGATGTTATGCTGGTTTATGAGTCATTTTTGCAAAGCCTTGATGATGTTGTATTAGTTTACAAGCCGGTCTGCAAAGCCTGGTGGTGGTGTGTTAGTTTACAAGTCATTTTAGAAAGCCTGCTGGTGTTATAGTAGTTTACAGGTCGCTCTGCAAAGCCTGATGGCGTTATTAGTTTACAAGCTGTTAATTTTTTATGGAGCCGTGTACCTGCTGAGGCTTCCTGCTTTTGCAAGGCCAAGGGGATGGGTTAATTATTAATTATGGATGGAAACATGGGTGCTGCCACAGTGGAGCCCGTCCCCACCGTGTCTCGGCTCCCCACCTTTCGGGGAGCCAGCCGTCCCGGTGCCAAGCCGGTTCTGCCCACTCATCTGGCATTTACTGGGTGATCGCAGGCCAAAGGAGTAGGGTCCAGCGCACAGCGGCTTGCAAGCAACAGTTTGCACCCCTCACGTGATAATATCTTTTTTGGTGGTTGTTTTTTGCAGCGTGCCAGCGCCATGCACCCAGCAGCCAGTAGCTTTCCCCCGGACGAGGAGCCCCTGATCGAGGAGCCATCGGTGAACAGATACAGCCAGCAAAGGCCAAGCGACCGCTTACATGGGGCCTACGTTATTTTTTTCCTCCTGGGCATCGGGTCCCTGCTGCCCTGGAATTTTTTCATCACGGCAAAGCACTACTGGATGTACAAGCTGCAAAACTGCTCGGATCAGGCAGGCCCGGCATCTGATCTGCGGGTGAGTGTGCTGCTTTCAAGGCAGAAAAAAAAGCTGCTTTCCTTCCTTACTTGCTCTTTTTCCCCTCCACTTCCCCAGAAGGTGAGTCAACGTCCTCTGGGGTTTTGCCTGCTGCAAACCTGGGGCAGGGGTTTATCTGAGGAGCACAGATAGTAGCAAGAAAGATGCTTAAAACTAAAGGCATAGCACTTTGTGGTCTGTCTTTAACCTGTATTTGAAGCGCTAAGGTTTAAGGCGCGTTTAAAAAATTTGGCTTAACCTGCTCCATAAGCAAGGCTGCCTTTCATAGGACAGTTTCTACTGTGCAAAGTAAAAATCTCGTTTGTGGATTTTTTTTTTTTGTACTTCATGCTTGGTGAGCCCCTGAGCCCCGCAGGGCTCTGTGCTTTTCCAGCCGGACTCGGCCACAACTCCCTGTGGCCTGGGACATAAATTGCCCTCAACTTCTGGCTCTGTGGTGAGGCATCGAACACATTTTAGGCATTTTCTCCCTTGTGCTGGCTGGTGCAGCATGTCATTTGGAGGTGGCAGCAGGGCTTTGCAGGAGTACTAGCCCCAGAGCGCATGGCTTGCGATAGTCTCGAGCCCCCCGGATGCTTTACTGCTTTTCCTTCAAGATCTGGCAGGTGTGACCGGAGTATCTCCTTGCAGCGATAAACATCTGGCTTTCAGCATATGGGACGAGGAGCTTGTCATGGGGTGATTGATGAACCAGCCTTGGGGCGGCAGGCTTGATGGCCTCTCTTTTTCTCCCCAAAAAAGCCGCCTTCTCTTGCTTCTCCTGCCACAGCAGGATTATTTCCCTGTGCTCCCCTGACAAAGCAATGGTGTTTTTTTGTGGCTGGAAAAAGTGTCGGCATGCTGAGGCTGCATCCTGTCCTTCTCCTGTTGCCGAGCTTGCTCAAGTGGTTTGGGCACATTTTATTTTTATATAAACACAGAGCCAGGTGTGACACAAGGATACTCCGAGAGGGGGCGAAGGGTGCTCCGCTGCCACATGGCATGATGTCCTCCCACATTCCCTGCATCCCACCCGCTCCTCATTGCCTCTACGTCATGCTTATCCAAGGCAGTTCTTGAAAAAGCTGTTTCCAAGTTGAGTAAGTATCACTAAGTGTCTTCTTCCTAGAAACTCTTGCACGGCTGTATTCCTGGTCGGATCAGACGTTACTTTGTTGAAAAGATGTTTCTCCACTTTCTGTATGGCTGTGGCACAATGCTTTTTACTTCATCCGGTGAAAAGCAACCTGTTTTTTCCATGGCAATCGAGTCTAATCAAAAATAAACCAGTCGGCCCTGTTTCTGCCCTGGGATGGCGAGCCACGGCGCTGCGGCAGAAGGGCTTACCTGCAAACAGAGCTCAACTGTGGAAAGATGTGCCTGCAGCTGGCAGCTTGCTCTTGACTCCAGCCTGCTCGCTGCTGCTCATTTCATGCCCTGTGCTCCAGGTAATGCTCCGGTGCCTTCAGCCACCACTGTGGGCCTGGATTGCTTTTCCAGCCCGGCAGAAGCCCAGCTGCCCAGTCCGGGCTGGAGCAGAATAAAAACCCCTTTACAACAGCATCTCAGCAACTCCAGGCAGCGCCGACTGATGCCAGTGACTAATTTGACACCGTGATCCTTTGTTCTTGTTTGGGGTTTTTTAAAGTACCGAGTGTGTGCTGTGCATCATGGCAGTGTGTTTGAAGATGCTGTAGTTAACACTGGGTCAAACACCTCCATTACACACCTTGGCTCCATGGCTGAGGGATGGCACCTTCCCCTGTGAGAGGCAGAGGTGGGAGAAAAGTGTCAGGTTTGCTTTGTGGATTATTATTATTATTTATTATCAGCCAGGAAAGGGGTGACAGTCTTTCAGTGCCTGTGTTTCTCCTCTAAAACCATGTCAGTGATGGGGAGCTCAGCCCTTGTGAGCAGAGGAGACGAGCCAGCTGGTCAGGGAGGGCTCAGCAGAAAGGGAGTAGAATTAAATATATGTTGCATAGCCAAAAATTTGCTCTGAAAGCATGTCTGTGATGGGTGGGAATACCCACGCAGGGAGAAGAGTTACCATCTGAGCTGGATTAACACCTAGTGAGCAGGAGCAAAGAGATGAGATGAGTATGAAGCCTGGTATTTTTCCCATGATCCAGGCATGGATTAAGTTTGTCACTCGCCATCCTGCTGCTGCATTAAAAATGTGACGTGAGGGCTTTCCTTTTTCTCAGAAACAACAGCAATTGAAACCCTTCTACTTGGCTTTTCTTTTCCAGGAGGGTCTGGCCGTGGGTAAGGCAGGGTAAAATTTCCCAGTGCAGTGCAGGCTCCTCAGTTTCTTAAATACTTCTCCAGTTCTCTTTCCACTGCTGGTATGAGGACGTTTGCTGGGAATGAATGAACAGTTCCCTGGGGTAATTGAAATGCAGCGTCTCTGCTGAATTACTTCAAGTACACTTCTGCTTGGTGGAAAGTATTATAAAGTCTTTTTTCCTCCCCAAAAGAAAAAAGAAAATTAACTTGGAAGTATATTAAATATCCCCAGGCTGGTTTGGGGGTTTGTTTTAAGTAGGTTGGTAAACAAGTCTTAGTTTTAGCAGCCAGCTTTTTATTTTGCTTTGTCTTTTCTCCTATAGTATGGCCATAGAGCTTTGAGTCTCCTGCTTTGCCAAGCTGGTGCTAAGTGCAGGCATTTATGTCTCTGTCTATATGGACCCTCTAGGAGTGATTATTAGATTACCCGTCGCTTACAGTAAAGCTCCTGATAGGGAAGAATAAATGAACATGCTTGTAAACTGATTAAAAGACTATGATGCAAAGCTGCAAAAAAAAAAAAAAAAAGTAACGTGCAGAGAAAACGTGCCAAGTGCCTTCTTGTGCTCGGATGTGATGTGGCCCCGTCTCTGTAGCTAGGTAACTGCAGAAAATGAAAGCCCATCACGATGAGGGTTGATATGTAGGTCATCCTCTTTGCGAGCATCGTCCTACCTGCTGGCTGAGATTCCCGCAGAAAAAACAGGGGATTAAGCACCTCAAGAGGAGGAGATGGAGCAGACACACTTTAACAGCATAATACATAAAATGGATTGAAAATGTAAGCGTTTGGCTGCAATCTTGGCAGAGAAATATCTCTCTCTCTCTCTGCTGTAGTTATTGCTTTCTGTGTGCCCAGACTGACCTCTGTGCGAGGCAGGCTGGTGAATATTGACTGATGCTGCAGCCAACTTGCTCGGATGATATACAAGTCTCCAGAGTAAATGTGTGTTGAGTCTCAATATAGTTTCTCGATGAGTTTCGTGCACGCAGAGAGGGAGACCGGGAGGGAGAATCATGTCCCAGTGTCCCCACCTGTGCTGCTTTTGCTTGAGCACATTCTCATGCGTGGTGTCCCGGTCACTCCGCGTGGAGAGAGATGCACAGGTTGGGCTTTCGAGGCAGTTAGCTAGTAATATTAATGGTTTGTGTCCCAGTTTATAAAAACCAGCCCTCATGGAGGTCAAGGAGGTAAAATGTTCAGGGGGTTTGTCCAGGACACTGGAGCCAGCCAGAGAAATTCAGACATCCTTATTTTGGTTGCTGCCCCACAGGGCCAGTGCAGCAGTAAGGCAGGTATTTCCCTTCACCATTGTTGCTTCTGAATTTTTTTATGTCCTTAATTTCCTGAAATATCCCAGGGCTGTTGCAGGATGAGGCAGCCCCGGGATGGTTTCCATCACCCATTCCCTTTGCCTTTCATCCTGAGCAGCTTTGCAACACGTGCTACAATGCAATGAGGTGGACACCTACATCATAACTCCCCATGCGTGCTGTATAGTGCCATATTTAGGACCTGAAATTCATGTGTTGTTCTCCCCCTACCTTTTTTTTTTTGTTTTTATTTTTTTTTTCCTGGCAGGACTTTTTTGAGAGTTACATCTCCATCGCTTCGACTGTGCCCTCGGTGCTGTGCCTGATCGGAAACTTCTTGCTCGTCAACAAGTAAGTGTTGCTCCGTTCCTGGGTCCATTAGCCGCAGCTCTCCCTGGCTTTGCTTGCATTGCTCCTGCCTTTCTCTGGCTTCAGCCGTGGCTCCCAGCTCAGCCTCCCCTTCCCTCGGGGGAAAGTCACGAGGCACACAGGGCGTCATGAGCGTGGCCTCCCTGTGTGGCTGAAATAGTCTCATCTACCCCTGCCTGAATTGCAGCCAGCTGAGATGAAGCAGGGTGAAGCACCCTGCTCCCTGCCAGCAGCACCCATGCCTGGAGTTGGCTTGAGTTACACCACTGTAAATAAATTCCTAATAAATTCCTTGGTTAATTGCTTGGCAAACAGTCTTTCCTCTTAAAAATGCCATCATTGTCACCAGGGGACCGGCTGATGAGAGCTGGGCTCATCCAGGCAGGAGTAACACCTTGCTCTAGTCCTACCAGCTGCTGAACTGGGTTAAGAAATGGTCCATCTGTGTCTTGTTGCAGGCTTGACTTAAATCTAAAATAGCTGCCCCCCCCTTGTTTGTACCGTTCCTTATCCCAGATCAAACTCCTGCACATTTGTGGGCGAAGAGGAATGTGTTTGTGTGCTTAATCTCTAGATCCTGGCTGCCATCTGGCTCCCCGCCTCTCTCCCTTGCCCCCTTCGTCCTGCCCCCAGGCCAGCCCATCCGGTCTCCTGGCTGGGTAATAAGCAACCTCCATGCTCAAACAACTAATTAGCTCATAGTAATGTGCCTGGGATTGCTTTCACCCAGCTTGCTGTGTTTCCCAGGCAGGCTCTGTCGCTGCTGCTGTGTGTTGCTCCAGCGATGGGGATAGCTCCTGATTTCTGGGAGAAATGGGTATTTACAGCTCGGTTGAGCTTATAGACTTAGTCCTACTGGTGGCAAAAGTGGAAATCACAGAGTTAACATGTAAAAGCTGAGAAAAATCATTACTTTTTATTCCTTGTCTCCCCCCACTTTTATTTATTTTCTTTGATCCTTATTGCAGCGTTGGTGTCCTCTGCATCGCACCTTCACGTTACAGTTTTAAATGCAGGAGCCTCTCCTTCCCCTTGTCTGCCCGCAGGGTGCCTGCCAGCGTCCGGATCCTGTCCTCCCTCTTCGTCATGCTGGCCGTCTTCCTAGTGATCACGATGCTGGTGAAGGTCGACACCTCCGCCTGGACCACCCACTTCTTTGCCCTCACCATCGGCTGTGTGGTTGTTGTCAGCAGCGCCTCGACCATCTTCACCAGCAGCATCTTCGGCCTGAGCAGCCGCTTCCCCATGAAGAACTTGCAGGCGCTGATCTCGGGTTGGTGTCCCCCAGCCGCACCGTCCTTGTGGGATCATGCTCTTGGGTTTTCTGTGGTTGGGTGTTTGGTTTTCTTTCCCTCCTGCATCTGGCATTTTGTCACATGGGGTTTATTTTAGAAACAACTTTGCCTTATAGATAAAGGGAAGTTGCTAAAGGAGAAATCTGCTCAGTCACATGAGCCAGCACTCTTGTTTCTGTAAATACTCACAAACCAAAGTGCTGAGGGCTCAGCAGGGATGAGGAGAGCGGTGGTCACCGTCCCTGCCCAGGGGCCGGCCACCCTGCAGAGCAGCTCCAACCAGCACGATGGCTTGACTTGGTTATTTGTTCTGCGCAGGGAGAAGGGGGAAGGAGATACGTCCCTCAGCTCCTCTGTTTGCAGCTGGACGAATCTTCAATTTTGCATTGTCTCCTCCTTTCTGTTCAGCATTTCCACGCATTTCCATGAGTGATGAGGGGCATGTTGGGAGCCGTGAGTGATGAGCTCCCTGGAGGTTTGATAATATTATAAATGTGCTGTGGAACGGCTGAAAAACCAAGAGGGGAAGGGGAAAAAATTTTTCCCAGGGCTGAGAGAGGAGTGTTTTAATGAGTTTAGCCCAGTGGGGGAAATCACCGCATCCCTGAGATGGCATACCTGTTGCTGGCGGCTTGAATTCCCATCTGGGGGAGTGCAGAAGGGAGGTGGTTATACGTGTGCCAGTGGAAAGCCCGGTTTAGGCTTTGGGCAGGGTTTGGACCTTCTCTGCAGGACTCAGCACATGCAAGCCCAGCAGATCGGGTCCCGTCCTGACCCTTGTGCAGTGCTGTGGCTGTCTTGGAATGGATAAAGGATGGGACCTGGGCTGTCATGCAGCCCCACAAATAACTGTGTTGCAGCGAGGCATGGACATGGAGATGAGGTGGTGTGTGCAGCTGCACCCTGAGCTGGGTTTGGGGACCGGTGTGTGAGGTAGGGGGGTGAGCTGCTTCTCCTGGGGGGTTTGGGCACATCAGGAGGTGTTAATAAGAGGATGCTGCTGTTTCTGGGTCCTCCTCTGCATCAAAGCCCTGCTCACTGGAGGTGCTGTGGGTTGTTCTCTGCCACCTCGATGTCCCTCACCTGTGCCCTGGGTGCTGAGCTCCATCTCTCTTGTCCCCCATGCAGGTCAGGCCATGGGCGGCACAATCAGCGCCATTGCCTCTGTGATAGACCTGGCGGCAGCAGCAGACGTTACGGACAGTGCCTTGGCCTACTTCCTCACTGCCGACATCTTCATCGTCATCTGCATCATGGTGTACCTACTCCTTCCCAGGCTGGAGTACTCCAGGTGTGTGCACCAGCCTGCCGTGGGCATCCCACAAGCACGGGTCAGGAGGGTTTGCTGCTGTCTATGCCGAGCGGGCTTGCTGGGGGGACCCATGAGATGCTTGCTGTGCCAGTCCCTGCCCTGTCACCCCCCGGCATCCCGCGTGCTCTGGCGCTGTGCTGCTGCCAGCCGTGCTTCCCCATTTTTTGGCCGAAACCACAGACCGAAACTGGGTGCTCGCCCTGGCGCGTCCTGAGTTTCTGGCAAGCCTCCCCTGGGGGGAAAGGGGTGCTGACACAGGGGCTTGAAGTGAAGCATGAAGTCAGCAGAGAGCTGTGATCTGGAAGCAGCCAGCCAGGTGGTTCCCCATAGGGCGTCTGTATCTGCAATGCCATGCACTGATGTGCATGACCCATTGGTCTTCTTGGTGCTTGCAACCACCGAAACCACCTGGCCTCCCAAATGCCTGCATGCCGTAGTTCCCCCTGCTGTGAACTACGGAGGGTGTAAAGGGATCCCCGTGGTGGGGAAGAGGGGGTGCTGCATCCTTGAGGATCACCTCTCTGTACGAGGCAGGAGCTGGAGGTGCGATGGGGTCACTGCAGCCACTTCTGCTGGGTGCATCAGCATCTGCATCCCTGCAGACATCCCTGCATCAGCAACTTCTTTCCTGCTCTCTCTCCAAATCTCAGTTTTGGTTCCCCCCTCCACGCACTTGGCTAATAATCTCCTTCCTTCTCGTTTTCCAGGTATTACATGAGCAGCCAGGAGAGCCCATCTCTGGCCACTGTGCTGCCCGACAGCTCCACGGAGGATGAGGCAGAGCCAGGAGTCACCACAAATACCTCCTTCCTCACAAAAAGCACTGGCATCCCCCCGCTCCGCCCCATCCTGCAGAAGACCGCCCTCCTCGGCTTCTGCCTCTTCTATGTCTTCTTCATCTCCATCATCATCTTCCCTTCTCTCTCCTCCAATATTGAGTCGGTCAGCAAGTCTTCGGGAAGCCTGTGGAGCACCAAGTACTTTGCGCCGCTCACCAGTTTCCTCCTGTACAACTTTGCTGACTGGTGCGGGAGGCAGATCACTGCATGGATCCAGGTGCCTGGCCCCAAGAGCAAGCTGCTGCCTGTCCTTGTCCTCCTCAGGACCATCTTCGTCCCTCTCTTCATCCTCAGCAACTACCAACCCCGGGCTCACATCCGGACGGTGGTCTTCAACCAAGATGTCTACCCGGTGGTCTTCACGGCATTGCTGGGGCTGAGCAACGGCTACCTGGGGACACTGGTCATCATCTACGGCCCCAAGATCGTGCCGAAAGAGCTGGCCGAGGCAGCAGGGGTGGTGATGACATTTTACCTCATGCTTGGGCTGGCTGTGGGGTCTGCCTGCTCCGTTCTCGTTGTCCACCTTGTGTAGAGGAGCAGCTGGAGGGGATGCCCTCGGTTTGCAGTGCTGCTGTCAGGTATTTAGGGATTTTTTTCCCCAAAAAGCCAGGCACGCCATGTTTTTGGGGCAGGCTGCCTGTCTTGGGGGGAGGGTTACATCCAGGGGGAAAGTCCCCCTTCTGGGAAGGGGTGTCCCCTGTGCTTGGGAGGTGACATTTGTCACTCCCTGGCTTGACCAAAGCAAACGGACCAAAAAAAGCCTCATCCTCCCCAGGGAGCTCAGGGGAGGGAAACCTGTCCCTCACCCCAGTGCCAGTGGGCAAGAGTGGCTTGCTGGTGCCAGCGTGCTGGTTTTAGACTGAAACCGGGGCTTTTGACGGCACATTGGGTTTTGCTTCCTCATTGTTGCGAGTTTAGCCTTGCAGTGTTTTGGTGGTCTCAGGGCGATTGCCCTTCATCAAGCTGTGATGGTGATGTTGAGCTCAAGGGGATTTGAGCCCCAGAGCACCTTCAAGCAAGCTTCGGGAGTGGATCCCAGCCACACCAGGGAGCGGGGGATTTCATACATTTGTGCCACAAAAAAGCTTATATAAGGGAAACCTCTCCACTTGGACTCCTGCTTGCTTTAATTTTTCCAGATCAGACTGAATTGAGGGATCATCCAGCCCCCAGCACGGTGCTACTAGTGCCAGGGCTGTATGTTGTGGCCAACATGAGACCATTTCTCCTCCTCTGACTGTGGTGTGACAGCCAGGGACTCTCACTTACCCGTCTGCAGCTGAACCCCAAGGAAAGCAAAATGCTAAGTGTGTAAAAACCTAAGGTTTTTAAGGTGCCTTTAGTCTGCATTGAGAAAGGTCTATAAAAGCCAGGGAGAGGTATTAGGGAGGCTCTGATGTGATGTTCACAGCAGCAAGCTGATTAATTTAGGTAGACAGGTGGCATATGGTCTCCAGATGCTTTCAGAGGAGTGAGCTACTGTGACACCCAAAAAGATGGCCCACCCATAGGGGACCAGCTTTTAAAGTCACTTAAACTTCCATATGCAAAGGCAGCCTGGACTAAATACAATTATTGTATTTATTTACTCAAATTGTGTGGATTTATGGTCTAGGAGAGGTGAACTGGTAAGCAAAGATGCAGTGGCATAACTTGGCATTACAGCTGCCTCAGGGATGCTATCTATGGAAAATACTTCCTTTAAGACTGGGTCATTAGTGGATGCTCTCTCAGCATCTCCTGCTTGACCGAGTAGCAGTGAAGCTGATGGTCTGGGTTGCCAGGCCATCTCCTTGCTGTGCTGGCTGTGGTGGTTAGAGAGAGGGAGGATGCAGGGCTGGTGCCTTTCCACCTGCAGCCACCCTGGCTTTGCTGGGAGCATGCCAAGGATTGGCAGCAGTTATTGCCATGGGGTGAAATGTAGGCTTGGTGGGTGTTGGGTTTTTATATAAATCCTTCCCAGTGTTTAGATTGGGCTCGTTGGCAATGCACACACAGTTTTGCTTTACGGCTCATTTTTATTTAAACATAAAATTCAGACATGAGTGGGAAATTTACAGGGCATGCGGTACCGAGGAGCAGCTTTACGGCACCCGACTTTGCATGTGCGGGCTCTTAATCCTGTCACTTCGGTAGGTGTGCAGCCCTTCAGCCCCTGACACTTGGCCAGGGACTGCTTTAGCCAGCATTGACCCAGGTGAAGGTCCACCTCAGCTTGAAGGGCAGCCCAAGGGCTGAGGGTAGCGATGCTGGCTGGCTGGCTGGGTGCTGCTCATGAGGGTAAGTGCTCCCATTGCCTCCACGTTGCTTGGGGTAATGCGGTAGTTGGTCACGGCTGAAAAGCCTAAGCCAACCTCATGTTGGCAACTGAAACGTCCCTTTGTGGCCTTTAGTGCTTCCCACTTGAGAGCCTGCCGTGTGATCTGCTCTTCTCAACTCATACGTTTTCCCCTGGTCCCAGTTATGATGAGATTCTGCTCGTTTGCTGACTGCTTTGCACCTCTGCTGATCTTCTCTCTCATGTTACAGACCGAATACCTCCTGAGACAGAACTTAATTATCTGGTACTGTTGCTAATAAAGTTAATTCTTGATACTGTGCAACTGCTGGTGTCTGAAGTGATTTCTCTTGGAGATGCACCGATGCATGCACTTTTAGTTTGCATTTTTCCTTCTTGTCATCCTTCTCTCCCAGCTTGGATTGTAAACTCAGAGAAATCACTGACAAGGGCTGGGTGAAGGACCCCTGAGAGAATTGCTTTGAGAGCCTGGTTATTCTAATTTAATATCTCCAAATGACCTGCAGATAGGTGTGGAGAGTGTACTTACTGCATCTGCAGGGGAAGCAGGCAAAAAGGGAATTTATCCTTTGTCTTTGATGGTATTCAGCTAAGGAAAGTTAGAGAAATGAGGGGAAAAATCAATACAGGTTCAAATTGGGCAAGAACGAGGTCTGAGTATAAAGCTGGTGGGAGCACTGCGGTATGGGGATGGATGCTGATGGGTAGCCTGAGCCATGAGCATGTGGGTGATCCCCCTGCAAAAGGGGATGGGTAATTTATAGGGTGTTGCGTATAACGGCAGGGAGGTAATTACTGGCATATATTGCCTGGACAAAGTCACATCTGATGCTCTGCGTAGGCCATATTGATGAGCTCAAGCTACGAAAATGCAGAATGACGAGGGAAACGGTGGTTGCAAGGCAGAACAAAGGATGCTGTGTCTGCCACGTGGAGCTGTTTTTCAGACGTGTTAGTGGAAATGCAACCATGGTTTATTTCTTAATGGTTTTAAATAATTTATCTTTGATAAGGAGTGTAGCCAGTGACCCCAGTTTCCAGTTCAGGAGTCAAGGTGGGACAGCCAGCAGAAATGCTGCAGGGGTCAAAACCTACTTCATGGTATTTAGCCAGGAAATAAGACTTCTAGGTCTCAAAGAGCTTTACAAGAGGGAGTTGCTTCCCACGTCTTTGTTTGGACCTGGGACACCTGAGGTCCAGAGGAAGATCTTGGGTATGGGCAGGGCTTGGAGCTGAGCTGGGTCCATGGGTCTTCCTCGCCTGTCCAAAACAGCATTGCCAGATTTCTCTCTCTTTAATTAACACCATCCCCTGAGCTGTTTAAGAGACACTAGCAGGGCTGTAAATGTTTTCACCATCTTTCAGCTGAGGGAAGCAGGTTGTGAGCTGGCCAGTGGGGGAAGGACCATGTGCTCTCTGCAGGGCTTGGCCTTCTCTCACCAGTGGGCATAAAATGAGCGATGCAGGCGCTTGCAAAATTCATGAGGGTGGGCCCACGAAGTGAAACTAAATCAAAGATGTGCGCGAATCCCTTGCCAAGTGGCAAAGGGCCAAGGCACCCAAATCCAAGTGGCAAAGCCGCTGTTTGCCCAGCACTCAGGGCCAGCATCGCTGGCAGAGCAGTTGGGAGGATGGAGAGCCCCCGCATTCCCTCAGCTCTGCGGAGGGCTGGCAGCCTGGCGTGGTCGGGATGCTGCGCCTGCCCCACGCTGGCTTCTCAAATGGCCTTTGGTGTTAAATCCAGTTGGCTGAGGGGAGACGAAAGCTGTGAACTGGCAAATCAACACCAGCAAGACAGGATGGCGCGGGGAGCGGGAGGGGGTTGGATGGAAGGGCGGAAAGCGGAGGAGACGCATCTGTTTCAGCTTCTGCTCAAAGGAGAGTAACTGAGCCTATGCCTGACCTTTTTTTGTCCTCTCTTTCAGCTTAGTGGTGCCAACTACTCCTCCTTGCTTCCAGAGCTGGAGCCTTTAAATGTAGGTATTGGGGGTTTTAAAGCAAAAACAAATGCGCTCTAGGAGGAAAGGAAACTTTTGTTATGGAGTGATACTAATCTCCCATCAGTCACAAGTGAGTGCCCCTCTTTCTGATCTCCAAAGCCTTGTCTAGCCTGTCACCACTTGCTGGAGTGCCCCACAGGGTAGAAATGCTGCCACCTCTCCATCTGTGATACCAGCCTTTGCATTACAGAGCCTTTGGCGCAGCGCTATTACCCTTTGGGAGGTGGAAGCATCTTTGAAACCACCTCGCGACCCTTCAGCATTGCCTTTGTGGTGACCGAAGAGAAGCTGTGCTGCCTCTCAGCTGCTCCATTGTACGTGTTTTGGGGTAGGACTCATCCTTTCAGGGTTTCGCTGGGATGCACTGTGGGTCAAAAGCCTGCACAGCTGAAGTGGGATTGCCTTTGGTGGCTCGACGGTGGGAGCAGGGGCTGCAAGGGTGGTGGTACGTGGTACCCGGCAGGGTGTCCGCCCAGCAGCACAGAGCGTCCCTGTGCGTTTGCATCTGTGCCTGTCCCCGGCATCCTGACAAAGCTCCTAACGAGCTCTGGTGGTCCCCATAGCCAGCAAGGGGCCAGTGTGCATGACCTCGCTCTTAATTACTGCCCTGTGGCAGCTTCATTTGTATGGGCAGCAGGGTCCCTGGGCAGCGCCTTGTTCTGCATGGCCCCATGAGCTCGGGCAGCGTGCGGAGAGTCATCACCCCACTACGGACAGGGTGATGCTCTCTGATCCCTGCCCCTCCAAAACGCTGCCGCCTCGCCCTCTGCAGCCACGGAAAAGACCCGTTTCAAGGTATTTCGTCCCTTTTTCCCCTTTGCTCATGCTTGTGCTTGTGGTGGTGAAGCTTGCCAACCTCTGTGGCTTTGCGGCATGCCTCTGGCGAGCATCCTCCTGAAAAGGGCCACGCCAGAGGAGCCAAGGGCTTGAAACACTGGCGGTCGTCTTCTTCAGCAGGGGCTCGGGGAGGGCCGTGGTCCCCAGCAGATGAGCTGAGCTGATCCTGCCCCTCCACGGGCGCCCCAGAGAGAAAAAAAAATCTCAGCTTTGAAACCTCGCCAGCCAGCTGCAGGCTTGCCCGGCTGCTGTTCTCCTTTTACATGTTTTATGGAGTAATTTGTACTATATTTACACGACGGTGATAAACAGTTTTTAAAATGGAAGCGAAGAAAACGCTGTTGAATGGATTGTTACAAAAAAGCCCTGTTTGCCATTCCAGCAGGGGGAAAAAAA